TGAATTGAAATGCACTAATGTGCTTGCTGTGTTGTCATCCTTAGGGTCGATACTTCTTCATCTGCACCCTCGTATGACCGCTGCAATGAGACACATGCAGGCCCTACATCAAGATGAACTTTCGATGTTGCTCTTGGTGGGAAAAAATGGGCTTTTTCCCGGTTTAGCGGTTCATCACCGCTATTATTGAGCATCCCGATTTAGCGGTTCATAACCGCTGAAGAGGTTTAGCGGCGATGCCCTGAATAGCGGTTATAATTTTTCGTGACACTATGGACCGCTAAACCGGGCCCGCGACTTTAACATTAATTTATTTTGTCCGGCCATCCATGATGGGTTCAACACAACAAGCAAAGCACACGTACATGTTGAAGACATCAATGTACGCGAAACAAACAAAGGCAACCCAGTTGAAAACGCCGAACACTCCCCACTCCAGCGCATCAATCCCAACCTTCACGATGCTTTACACATGTAGGCCTCAACCGACCAATGCCACTCACTACGACTGGGCAAACGCTTTGATGTCCAACTGCCGTGCGTGCCGGTCTAGCGGCATGTATGTGCTGCGAAGAATGTCATCTTTGCCTTACGGAGGAAATGCCCAGCCTCTCCAGTGCCACACGACTCCGCGTACTCTTCTCCAGGACCAAAACGCCCTGACAGTTCCGCGAACGACGGCAACGCCTTCATCCCTCCACCCCCCTCACTCTCAAACTTTTCGGTGTTGTCTAGCTCTAGCTCGTCGTCAGAAAAGGTGTCCTCTTGGACGTACGTGTTGCCAACCTTCTCCATAAAAATCTCCCTTTTTGCGTCTTCAGACAGAGCTTTTGCGGTAAAATACAGGGAGGGGGTCTCCGACGTCTTAATTTCCACTATTAATGGGGGGATGAGATGCCCAAAATGCCACTATTGAGGGCCTCGTCCTCAATACTGGTAAAATGCCACTATATCGGGTTGAGATTGTGACACGAGAATTTAATGCCATTATTGAGGGTATTTCACTATTCAGGG